CGCGTGTGCCCCAGCCGCGCGTCCTGCGCCTTTCTCGGCCAGCTGACGTGCAGGCCCCTTTTGGCAGCTAAATTCCCCTCCCCATCCCAAAACCCAGCCAAATATCCCTTCCAAAAACCCAATACCCATTTTTAGCTTCCCATTTTTTTGTGGGTTGGAGGAAGAAAAACAAGCCAAATATGGCTTTATAGCTTTTTGACACCATGGGTTGGAGCTAGTCTAATTTAGCCAACCTATTCACGAGGAGTCGAGGACATTGACGCTCGATTTGGGGAAAATATTATTTGTAATTTGGCTCGTTGTCTCATATCCTTGTTCGGTTCATGAGTCTTGCGAGCTAGCTTGGCTCAGTGGTGCATTGAGTTCAACTAGTGAGTTGACTCGATAATGTGGTTAACGAGCCAATTCGACTTGTGGCTTATAAGCACATATATAAAGACCTTGAGTATGAAAACGATATCTAGACCTCGAATTAGCAGAATTTTTGGGCATGATACTATACCCTAACCCTTAATGAGTGAACCCTATGTCATGATTATCTAAATCATAAACTATAAACCCTAAGATGATGCATTCATTTTTTGCCTATATTTAGATGAATCATAACCGTCGATTATTTTTTCTAATTAAATTGATCTTGGAGTATAAGATTTATAGAATAAAGACCTAGATTTTGATCTTTAAGAGTTAGAGTATGACATCATGTCCAAAAGATCAGTCAATTCAAGGTCTAGATAGCATTTTCATACTCAAGGTATGCGGTAACCCCGGATTTCACCCTCGGTACCGTAGAACTCGAGATTTCACCCTGCTATCCAAACCTTAAATTGACTGATCTTTCGGATATGATACTATACTCTAACCCTTAAAGATCAAAATCTAGGTCTTAGTTCTCTAAATCTTATACCCCAAGATCAATTTAATTAGAAACAAGAATCGATGGCTATTATTCGTCCAAATATAGGCAAAAAGATGAATGCTTCATCTTAGGGTTTATAGTTTATGATTTAGATAATTAGGACCTAGGGTTCACTCATTAAGGGTTAGGGTATAGTATCAAGCCCAAAAATTCTGCTAATTCGAGGTCTAGATATTGTTTTCATAATCAAGGTATACGGCACCCTGGATTTCACCCGGGGTACCATAGAAGCCACCATATATATATATAACTTATGATATAGCTTCTTAATAATTCATACTTATTAGATTATATATCTCATAATATATAATGAGTATGTGACTCAATATGTCATATTTATAGTTTGAAGAGAAATTATAAATTATAGAATGCTTAGTTACTAATTATTATATTAAATAACATGATATGAGTTGGTTAAAAATTAGAAACTAAATTATATTACACCAACATAATAAAGAAACATGAGATTAATTCATGATGTAATATTGACTTTTATTATCATATACGACATACAAATATTACGGTATTCAAGTTATTAATTATTGTACAGCTTTATGTAAGGATTCAACCATTTAGACTTATAAATGATTTGAGCTCGTTAGCTGATGATGTGTCGAGCTCGAACTAAACTCGAGCTCTGCTTGTTTCTTAACGAGCCAAGCTCGAGCTTAGACAAAACTTGGCCCAACTCAGCTCGTTAGGAAACAAGTCGAGCTCAAACTTAGCAAAACTCAGTTCGACTCAATTCATTTGTAGTCCTAAACTAGTTATACATAATGTTTGGGAAGTGGTAATTGAGAGGGGGAGAAAGTTTGGGGAAAATGCATTTGCCTCCATTTGGATGATTTTCAATAGTAGTAGGGAGAGCAAGTGACGGGATCTTGTATTATTCCCCTCTCCCCCAATTTGGGGTGCCAGAAGAGATGTTTTTTCCCAAGAACAGAGCCACCCCGTCCCGGATCGTCGCAATGAAAACTATAACCAAAATCCTTTTTATCTGGCTCTTCTCAAAAGGTGCTGAGCTGGAATCCCATTCTAACTAAGGATTCTTGTGATTCCAGAGGACCAGCTACAGGAAAATCAAAAGCTGCTCGAACGAAGGAACGCATGTTTCCAAAAATATAAGAAATTCAAGTCTATCTCCTGAGTGAATTTGGAATTGAATAGAAAGATTATATGTCATATGTTGAGTTTTGCTCAGTGTTCAAGAAGACGCGCCTAGGCGCACGCCTAGGCGCGATTAGGCGCTGGGCAAGGGGAAATCGTGGAGTCTAGCCCTGGGCGAAGTGGCTGGGCGTGCAAAACGCAGAATCGCGTTGAAAAACTCCGAGGCGGCGACTAGTAGCTCGAAGTCGCGATTCCTTGCCATTGGGCGGCGCCCCTGAACAGGAGAAGGGGGAGGAGATGCTGCTGCGTTTGGCCCCAAAAAAACCCTAATCCCTTTCATTTCCAATCGGGTAGCAGACGAGCAACTCTCCCTCCTGCACAACAGCCGTCGTAGCTTTCCTTCCTCTCTAGCCAACCGCCGCCATCGTCTCTCCTCTCCAGCAAACCGCCGCTGCCGGCGAAGTATGAGTCTGTGAAGTTTGAATTGAAGAGAAGAAGTATAGAATCTGAGAATAGGAAGAAGACTAGAGAGGAAGAATCAGAGGGAAGGAGGGAATTCAGAAAGAGAGCAGATGTGGAAGACGAACAGAAGAAGGGAAGAAGAAGAGGAGAGAAGATTCCGTAGAGAAGCTTTTATATTTGTTTACACAATATCCATAGTAGTCCCCATACTTATCCTACTTACAAATAACCCCCTTTTCATATCCCGGTTTATTACAGTGACTCACTCGTCCTTACCGCTCTCGTTTGGTGGGTTGATGAATGATGAATGATGGATTAATGATAAAGGGTAGTAGGATATGCTGCTGATTTATGTGGAAAAGGGGTAATGTTATGTTGGATTGAGATTTGTATGCATGAGTATGGTGGATTAAGGGCTTCTTATGTCAAATTTTTTTCCATGTTTAATCTCGCCTAGGCGACGATTAATCGCCCTGGGCGCTGGGCGGTGCCTCCCCGCCTAGTTGACGTCCAGCGTCTTCTTGAACATTGGTTTTGCTATACTAAATGAGTTGGCCTATTAGACCTTTCTTTGCCTCTGGTTAAGCCCTTCTTACGTAAGACATCGTAAGCTCCTCGCCTTCCGCTCTACTCCGACAACTACTTACTTTTCTGATGAATCTTAGCTTCCTTTTGAATACAATAAAAGTGGTTATACATAATTGAGTTGCAGTTCTCCAAATCTACTCCACCTTATTGTTACTCTAGACGGTGAAGATGTTATTGATTGTGAACCGATATTAGGTTATTTACACAGAGGAATGAAAAAAATTGGGGAAAACTGAAGCTTCAAAGACTGCAAAGACTGGAAGGCAGGCAAGGAAGTTTTTATACTTTAATATCAGATGATTCCCCCCAGCTGTTTTGCCGAAGCAGCGATATACTGAATTTCTTTGTCTTTCAAAGAAAACGAATCCAATGGAACGAGGAAATTCATACAAAATTGTCTTCCCTTTGGGACTAGAGGAGGCTTTCGATGGTAGTTCAAATCAGTAATTAGAGGTCTTCCTCGGGGAGAGGAACTCGGAACAGAAAGGCGGTCAAAGGCGTTCGTTAAGTCCCTGTTTCTATCTAAATTAAGGGGCAACTAGAAAAAGGCGCAGTTTTCAACCAATGTCACAACCAACTTCTCAGCCAACAGCTCATAACACCGAAGAGAGGCCAAGGGTGGGTCATTGTTTGAAGTGTGGTTTGAATACCCACAATTCAAGAACTTGTCCCCTTAACCAAGGGGCTGGAATACATGTAAATTAATTTGTGTATGAGTCTATTTACTTGTTGTGAAGAATGTCGTTATGATGGGATGTATTATGTAGGATGTGAGGTTAAATGTTGGTGATCGAAGGACAATTGCACGAGAGTTGCGAGTTGCAACATCTGGATAGTGTGTATATGTAGCCGAGTCCACTGGAAATACCTATGTTAGGGTAAGACTAGTGGTTTACACCATTTGTTGCTATTATATGGTTGTATACGTTGTTGATTACATGTTTATTTTCCAGTTGAACGGAGCAAATGGTCGTCCAGTGGGTGGTACTCAGCCAACAGTTGTGGATGTGCAGGGAAGTCAGCCCCTTGTCACACAACCTTAGACAGAGCCATAATGAGTCGATTTATTTTTGTCAGCTCCCATGTAATGACTTCCATAAAGGAAGCTTTGAAGTCGACTCAAGTAACTGTAATGGTGCACTTTGTTAGGACTTGTTGTAAGTTAATGACATCTTGTAATTCAAGAGGTTATGTTCGTTAAGGACTACTATGTTATGAACAAAAAAACCATGTAAAGCACAGATAGTTAACTCCGTTCAAATGGTTATGCAGTGCCCCTTTTGTAGTATCCATGAATGATTGTAATCCAGGAGATTATGTTCATTAAGAACTACTACGTTATGCCCATTCTGTCGAATAATTTTTAAGTAAATGGAAAAATCCCTTCTGAAAATAAAAAACAAATAAGACCATCTTATAAATAGGATAATAATTCTTTACAAATTCATTGCCCCTCCGTTTATGTTAATTTCTTCTTTTCATTACCTCTTGGCAGTACTATGTGAATAGGTTTGATTTTAATAAAGCTCTGTAGCCTTCATAAACAAAATCTTTAACAATGCAGTCAAACTTCTTAATTGTCAAGCAGATACAACAAGAAAAAGTTATGGTTGAGAACAACCAACACACTTTAGGTTCGAACTTTGGAGCTAACAACAAATCGGAAAAAAAAAAAAGTTCCATTGGTTTTTCTTTTTGTGTGGATAAGTTAAAATTGTTGATACCTGCTTAATTACCGTTATACCAAGCTACATAATTACTTATAAGCTCCAAAGAATGTTTTATTCCAATTTCCAAATCATAGGGGGCGAAAACTCAAAATAAAGCCATGCGTATATATGATATGAGAGAGCTAAACAAAATTCATGACGAAGTCCAAAATTCATAGGCACCACTCGCGCCAGCGAGGATGGATGGTAGTCGATCAGAAGTTCCAACGGCGGAGGAATGGAATGACGAAGAACTTCATCTTCCCAATATTGCAGTGGATTCCATTAGCCTCGCCGCAGGCGAAGAAGTAAGGCTGCCACTTGCCCATCACGAACTCGAACCCTTCGCCGCCGCCGTCGGTCCAGTTGGCCAGCATTTTCCCCTTGCTGACGTCGCACCTCAGGAAGCTCCGCAGGTCCGGCAGCTGGTACACACTGTGCGGCCGCGAACTACTGTTGCCCGCCGGCATCTCATACTTAAACACTGCCCAAAAGGGAGTTCAAAAGTACCATTTAATTAACAAAATCGCAAGATTAGCCACTAAAAATTAGTTAAAGTGGGGTGACTTGATTTTTTACCTAAAGTGTCATTGACAAAGAAGGGACCGTTGCGCATGGCCCAGTTGGTGTAGTCAAAGCCGAACTGCCAATGCGTCTGATTCCCGCCCACCACCACCTTCCGGGGGCTGTAGTGATCCTCCACCGGTCGGTGCCTTGGGAACCCGCCGCCGCCACCCCAGCCACCGTTGTTTCCGCCGCCGTATCCCCAGTCTTTGTTGGCCGTCGCCAGAGCGGTGGTGGTCAGCAGAACGAAAATCGCAATTACTTGTGCACTAGTCATTGGTGTCATTCTTCCTTTGGGTTCTCGTACGTGTGTGGACTGTGGTGTACGTGAACAAAATCGAATTATAATAGACCGATGCAAACCGAAAGATAAGTTGTGCTGGTGGTGTGATTAGCCAGAGCTAGTTTGATTGAGAGATGTGGAATTGCAAGGGGAGAGTTCGTGAGTCATATATATATAGTGAATTAAGGAAATCACTGTACGTATAATTAGTGGCTAAGTGCCAACTTTCAGTTGGGTTTCGTCTTGGTTTCTTTCCTTTTGTCTTCGTTGGGTAGTGTCACGGCCTTACTCTTGGTCGTGCGGCCCTAACTCTCAGTTCCGTTAGAGAAGCTAGGCAGCCTTCTCACAAGCTCTCAAACTCACTCAACTCACAAGAACAAGACACAAGAAGATGGGAGAAACTCTATAGTTGTATTGCTCACAAAAATGATGGATGAGTTACAAGTGAGGGAGATGGCTCCTTATATAGGCCTCTCCTCATACAAGGCATCAATGCCCCTCATAATGTCCCTCTACTACATCAATACACCCCATAAAGTCCCCCCCATAATGCACCCTAATAATGCTACCCATAATGTAGCCCATAAGTGCACCATTAAGCTCTCATTTAGGTGGAGAATCCTAGGAGCATCTCTATGCTACTAGTCTTCCATACATGCCACATATGCAGCCGCCTTGTTGTCACCTTGTTGGCGCCATGTCATCGGCCACATGTGACATCCTCCCCCACCTATGCTCGCGACGCCCTCGTCGCGTCCTTGCTACGAAATGCCTCCATCGACCTCGAGCAGCCTCTCTCGACTCTTGAGCCTCGTTGGTGACATTCTCCTCCACTCAATCCACGACGCCCTCGTCGTGGCTCTTTTGAAGACGCCTCCCTTGCCTTAGCTTCGTTGCTTGCAAGGTCTCGTTGCACCTTCCTCCAAACCAAGGATGGCCCTGGCTCGCTCTCGAGCCTTGTGCTCCCATGATGTTGCGCACTCCTCCGCGGTCTTCTCCGTCGCGTCTTCGAGTGTCCCGCCTTCTCGATCATGGTGTCCTTTCCTTGCTTCTCCTGCCTTGCCAAACACCTCTTGTTTGACTCTAGTTGCTCTCTTGTCATGGGAACCGATCTTGCTCCGCCATTGATGCAGAATCTATTGGCGTATGGGATCGGGAAAGCTTTCTCCCGCACCATGAACTCCATGCCGATGATGACCTGATAATCATCCAACGACACAACCTCAAAGTCCGCCACCCCGGTCCATCCTCCTAGCTTGAGTGGCACCTGGCGCGCTACTCCATGAGTTCTTGTGGCCCTGGAGTTGGTAGCTTTCATCCACCCTCTTCGCTTCTTCTCGTACGTGATGCCCAGCCTCCGCGCTTCATCTACGTCGAGAAGGTTGCAGCTTGCCCGGTATCAACCAAGGCTTTTGTCTTCCTTTGGTTGAGCTTTGCCTCTACAAAGCATTGACCGTGTTGCTCGGTATGGGGAGGCTCTTCCGTCCGCTTGATGGCGCTCAATCTCTTCATGCAACCAATCTTCGCGACATGGGGCTCCACTCTTGGAGTCGCCTCCGCTTCCTCTTCCGAGCTCGAGCACTCTGCTAGTACGGCCTTCATTGCCGACAACTTGTGCTTTCTTGGACAATCTCTCACACGATGCGGACCATCACAAAGGAAGCAAGTAAGTTGTTTCTCAACCTTATGACTACCTCCTTGGTCCAGCCCACCACGCCTTCGTGTGTCTCTGTCATAGTCGCGTCCACCTCCATTGCCTCCGAACTCCACACGTTCCTCCGGCTCGTGGTACTCGACTAGGGACTCGGCAATCGCCATTGCCTCGGCAAGACTTTGCACGCCTCGCCGTTGTAGCTCCAACTTCGCCCATGGTTGGAGGCCGTCAAGGAAGGTGAACATGGCCTCCTTGTCGGTGTAGTCGGGGATCTCGAGCAACAATTCAGAAAACTCCTTCACATACCCTCGAATCTCTCCTTCGTGAGCAAGCCTCCTTAGTCTCGACCGGGCTTCAAACTCAACATTCTCTGGGTAGAATTGCCTCTTGATCTCCCTCTTGAAGTCATCCCATGACTCCATCACGCACGTCCCTTTATTGATATCGCCTTGGGTCCTTCTCCACCACAGCATGGCAACATCACTCAAGTAAAGAGGTGCAGTTTTTACCTTGGTATTCTCATCTCGAATACCCGAAGCTTCAAAGTATTGCTCCAAGCTCCATAGGAAGTTCTCTAACTCCCTTGCATTCCTCGACCCTTGAAAGCTCTTTGGTCTTGGAATCTCCATGGTTGAGGCAGGTTGTGCGATGGCAGGTCCGTTAGCCATGGCCCTCTTCACAAGCGTCACTTCGCTTTTGAGCTCCGCAACCTCCTCCTTCAAGACGGTCACCTCCGCAGCAGCCGCCTCCTTCACTAGCTCAATGGCATCGTTCATGGCGGTGGAGATGGTGTTTTTGATGAGGGCCATGAGCTCATCTCGAAGCCCTTCATTGCCAACCTCCAAACTCGTCACTCTAGCCGCCACACTTTGAACATCGCCTTGGATTTGGGTGAAGTTAGCTCCCAAATCCTCCATGACGGTGACATTTTCGGAAAGCTTCACCTCCATCCTCGAGACTCGCCTCTCTAGAGACTTGAGAGGATCACGAGTGCTCGACGTCCCTTTTGGCCTTCCGCCCGGAGTGGGATCTCTTCCCCGTGGCTTCTCCGCATCGTCATGGACTTCTGATCCAGCCATCTTTGGTGAGGTTCTCGCTCTTTCTTATCTTCCTTCTTGGGGAGTGAGGACACCGGTTCTTCTTTCAGAACCAGGCTCTGATACCAACTGTCACGGCCTTACTCTTGGTCGTGCGGCCCTAACTCTCAGTTCCGTTAGAGAAGCTAGGCAGCCTTCTCACAAGCTCTCAAACTCACTCAACTCACAAGAACAAGACACAAGAAGATGGGAGAAACTCTATAGTTGTATTGCTCACAAAAATGATGGATGAGTTACAAGTGAGGGAGATGGCTCCTTATATAGGCCTCTCCTCATACAAGGCATCAATGCCCCTCATAATGTCCCTCTACTACATCAATACACCCCATAAAGTCCCCCCCATAATGCACCCTAATAATGCTACCCATAATGTAGCCCATAAGTGCACCATTAAGCTCTCATTTAGGTGGAGAATCCTAGGAGCATCTCTATGCTACTAGTCTTCCATACATGCCACATGTGCAGCCGCCTTGTTGTCACCTTGTTGGCGCCATGTCATCGGCCACATGTGACAGTAGGCAAAGGGGTTTGAAACATTCGTCCGAAAGAAAATTTGTGTTTAATTAGTTTTCTTCATCTTGGGTGGTGATTGACCTTCCAATTAGATGCATAATCATGAGATGAGTTCTTCAAGTCCTCCACTAACCGGTCAACTTGTTTCTTCACTCTTTTTTTTTTTTTCTTCTTTTTCTTGGGAGATACATATAATCACGAGATATACAATAATAGAAGCAGTCATCTCACACTGGGTTGAAATTAAGGGATTATGAATAAAAAATGGAGAGTGTAATGATGCCAATTAAGTCATATTTTAAGTAGGGGTGATATTTGGTTAGCGGGTAAGATGTTACACCAATAAACTAATTGACAACCAATGTTTAACTGTTATATCGATAACAGATAATGAACAATGTATTGTTAACCAATTATAAGTTAGCGGTGTGGTTATCGATAAACAGAAATGGTTTTCGGTATAACCGATAACTAAATAGTCGGTTAATCGAATATAAATATATATTTCTCTCTCCAAAATAGTCATGTCCCTTTAAAAAAACTCTTGAACTTCGAATAAACAATCTCTTCTCTACCCCTGCCCTCTTCTTCTTTTCTTAATTTCCTCCTAGTGTGAACTGTGAAGCCTAAAATTGAAAGAGGCAAAGAGCACTATCAATTTTACGATTGAGATACAGGTGTCTAGCTTGCATTGGGAAGTTCAAATGACTTATACACTCATCACATTTTTCCATCATGTCTTCACTTTCTTCTCTCGGTCTCGTAGGAATAAGTCAAACCAAAATCAATGATAGAAATATAAAAAAGAATACACATATGTAATCACAAAAAAATGCACAAATGAAGAAAAAAAATGGAGGTTTTCTGTTGGTTCGATTACCGATCGGTGTCATGCTTTAATCTTATCGAATCAAATAATAAATGGTTAGTCGCTTAAAACCATAATAACCGATAACTGACTATCCACTTATAGTTAACTGACTAATATAAATAGTGTAGTTAACCGTAACCAAAAAGTGGTTAAAAATAACCAAAAGCTGATTAACAATAGCCAAAATTGGTTAATAATTAACCAATAATCAAATAAACCGTTATGGTTATAGTCAAACCGAACAAAACTGACTAGCCGCCCTAAATTCAGGAACCAAAATAAATCATAAAAATGTTTTTGTTTATTATACCATATCAATGGTATCTATATGATCATGATTCCTAAAGTAGTTGCGAGGCCGAAATCTACAACAATAGATGAGATGAACTGATATGATAAATTTTAGTTTCAGTTTACTTGAAAAAGCTGAGAAATTGGAACATATATAACTAGAGACAGGTCACTCGCAAGAAGTCCCGAACCATTTATATATAAAAAAATGCTCGATCTAATAATTTTTAGGGTAAATATTCGTTACCAAAATTTTCAAATAATAGTCAAATGTTAACTTTTCGTTAGCAGTTTTGTAAGTAATATTGACTTGGCAACATGATACCGATTTAGAAAAAAATGTGGAGGTTAACATTATAAAATTTTAGTATCTTAACTAAGAAAAGAGTTACAAAATTACTAACGACAACAGAAAAATGACTAATATTTTTATGTGCTACAAAATATTTGGCTAATATTTTGTATTTCGAAAGGTATGACTAATAATTTGAAAAGTTTGAAAGTTTTTGCTAATAAATTGTATTATCCTAATTTCTAAAAGAAAAAGGTTACGAGAAGGAAGAACGTT